GGCCAACAAACGACTTCTGTTTGTATACGCGGCTCAAATCATTTAATGACGATCGTTAATATGGATTTTAACCTGAGGAGATGGGAGATTAAAGAGAACTTGTTTGGCTCAACTTTCCACAGTTAGATTAAACGAATAACTAATGTTAGCTGTCAAAGTGAAAAAAAAGGCTGATCTGGTCGTATCGAGAATCGATGAAAAACAGGAAAGTGGAATTTTTATTAAAGAAAAGGGAAAGTAGTGATTAAAGGCCTTACTTTATTCAAAATTCCGTGGTTTAACGAGCATTAGCATTTCATAAGCGTAGTACAAAGTTTTTAAGTTATGGTTTTTTGAGAAAAAATTCTATGCACGAATAAACCACATTTTTAAACCTGTGGCTCCTTTTCTTATTTGTTTATTTGTTTTTTAAGGGCTTCGTATTTATTTATCTCTTTCCGTCCTTGGTAGGGGTAAGGATGAATTCGAGCCTAGTCTAACCGAATATTTGGTTATTCAATTTCAGTTTATTGAAATTGTGTTAGGTTCAAGTTTGAGCTAGAGCTTGAGTTATAGACTTGGACTTGAATTCGACTTGATTCAAAGCTTGTAAATTCAAATTTAGTTTGGCTCGAACTTGATTACAAGTTAAGCTTTCTCTAAAAAATAAAAATTATATATATATATATATATATAAATGTTTTATTTTATAAACAAAAAATAAGAATTATAAAAAAATTTACTATTATAAATAAAAAATAATAATTATATATAATATAACTATTTATTATATATTTATATATATAATAAAAAATTATTTATTTATTATACTAAACTCAATTAAACTTACGAGGCTCATGGCCACCTTCGCGGTTGCAAAAAAAATGAATTAATTCGTCAAAAATGATTGTGGTGTGAGAATTTTTCATGATTCGGTGTAAGTTTGGTTTTATACATGGGTCTTGTCTACGAGGAAGACAAACTTCAATTTGTCTCCAATCAAATGACTATACTTAGCTTACTGTGTGTGCTGATAAAGAAAAAGGAAAAATTTGGACATGTGTCGCATAGGCTTTGGGTGTGCAGAAGATATTTAGAACAAAGATAATCACTAATGATTTGATATATTTCCTTTTGCTGTATTACCTCTTGATGGTAGGAGGGATTTACTCTTAGCCTATTGATTCACATATGCCCGCACTTTTGAGATTGGTTATTCCCATGTAAACCATTTTCAAGCATTAGGGATGTTAATGGATCAAGTGTTAAATTCACATTAACCCGCGCCATAAGTTTGGGTCAGTTTGATCAACTTTTAGGTTAGGTTCGCCTCCAAGCTTGCAACAGGTTGGGTTAAGGCAAACCTGAATCAAACTTGATCTGTTGATATCATTGAACCATAACTTTCTTTCCATTCCATGTTGTGCATAGAAATCTTCTTGGTATTGTTTAAAACAAATCCTTTCTTCCATATTAGCACAAGACTTTACCAAACTTTTATTACAAATAACATTGTACTAGTAACGTTGAAAAGTGTGTAAATATGTCATTCAACAACAAAAGAGCTTTTGTGAATTCTAGATTTTATTCATCTTTCTAGACCTCTCAAATTATATCATCATAAGACATATAGTGAGTTGGATCTTCAGAATCTAAACCTTCATCCTACATGAAAATGTAAAACCCTCTCCAACCCTATACTCCCTATATTTGAGGGTCGGATAGATTAGGTGTATGTTTAGCATCAATGTTGTTGCTCCAGAAAATGGTGACACATCAGCACCACCTCGAAAAAAATGGTGCTTTAGGAAACACATATTTGTTTGAAATCGTTTTTTCATAAAAAACAGTGCTCCAAGCCACGCTTTGGAAATCGAGAAGGCATGGTTTGGAGCAACGACGAATTTGGGGTTTTCTTAGATTGCAGCTCGTTGCTGTCAACGAGGATGTGATGTGGCAATGACATGGATTTCCTATAATGGGTAACAGTGCAGAAAACAGACATGGAACACCGGTACCAAATAGAAAGTGTTGTTGTTCCAGGAAACATCCTACCAAGCAGTAACATTTTCAAACAGAAAAAAAAAGACATGATTTTCTCAGAAAATGGTGCTTCCAACCCACACATTAGCATCGGTGCCAAACATATACTAGGTTGGTAGGTTGAACCATTGAATCCAAAATCAACATCTAATTTTTTGTTATTATATATAATCATTAAACAAGTAAAATAATATGAACAAATTTCTACTTATTATTAAAATATGTAAAAAATAAATTATTGACTAATCTTCATATAAAATTTAAAATATTATTAAATTCAAGACTTAATATATAAGTTTGTATGCTTTCCAACAATATGTGGATGAGAGGAGGGTCAGATTTAGCTTGATATTATATCCAACCTATACCCATACATGTTGTAAAATCCCAAAACCTGCCCCTTCCCCTGCCTGACAATCTATTTTCCAAGCAAAAAAAAAAAAAAAACCACTGAGGCCAGGGGCATGTACCAACTTGTTAGAGTAGAAATTGCCATCCCCACCACTAACGCTCACAGCTCGTGGTCAAGTTGGAGGAATTGATTGTAATCTCATATGATGGGAGTTTATTCGGTAATCCAATCCTATTTGATCCAGTTGGACGTGGTTTGAGCCAAACCCATACCGACCCAAACTTATCCCTGCCAAGGACCATTTGCTTTGTGCAATTACAAAGGGGATGTTTGAAATCGTGGCTGTTTTTTAAAAGAATGGTATCATATCGGATTCATATAGGCATTTCAACAAATGTCCATGTATCTTCTTGTTGGTTCAGTCGATTATTAAAAAAGCGAGTATGCCTAAACAATCGAGATCCCATCGATGCATGAAATGCATCGGTAAACCGTTTCTCCTAATGGTTGACTGATGTATATCCTATATGATACTTACCTGTCAGCACATACATGAAAAATGGTAATAAAAATCACCTTACCAAACAGCATGGTATTGTTCACTGCCTTCGTGATAAAAGCGTTTTTTTGTGAAAAACAAGTCTTAAAAGCATAAGTATTTTTTCTTAAAAATCGATTCTAAAAAGCACCCACACTTCCAAACAACATCAAAATCTGTGTATTGACAAGCATAAAAACATGAATTGAATGTAACATAAACCATTTGGTACAAATTTTCTAGTGGTTACGTTCATATCTATTCTTATCCACCCCTCTCAATACAATAGTTAATCAATACCAGTATTGAATAATGCCTTTTTTTCCGCTGAAAGTCTTTTCTTTAGGTCACTAATTTTATTTTTTATATGTTTTTCGTTATTCTCAATTTGAAAAGAGTGCAAAATATAATATCTACAGTATAAATACAAAGTGAAATATCAGAGTTTGCACCGAACATATTATATTTGCACTCTTCCCAAACTAAGCCATAAAGACACTATTCCTAATATCCTATATCTTTTCTTGAACTCAAATTATTGAAAGAAAGAAATTATTCATTTGCTATGACTATTAGTGCAATCATATCTGGTTATACCAAGTATATATATTTTATTTTTTATTTTTTTATGTAAAGTTCAATTATAACAATCAAATCCACCGCCACAATCTTATCAACAAGCCAAGAATGACAATACTTTTTTAGACCAATTTATCAGCATTGGGAGTGGTAATGTTACCATAATTCTAAGGTCTTTGAAACATTTCCTTTCACACCATAATTAAGTTTGACATCTAAGTCGTATAGATATTTTGAAGCAATTATCTATGCAATAATATGATATTATTGACTGAGAACTGAGAAGCCATTGGCATAATCCATAAAAAAAGAAAAAAAGAAGTTTGTTATTGGGATTAAACGACTTTATTGGAAGTATTCAAATAATGATTTTATATAAATATGAAAGCAGAATGATTAGGGCAAATCCCATTTTTTATTAGGGGGCACATCCCTAGTGTAAAGACGAAGAAACCATTAAAAGAAGTCAAAATATAAATTTTAAAATCTGAAATTTGAGTAATGATTAGTGGTGTGCCCCATTTTCAAAATAGATGGGTGTGCTCAAATCAATCCAGAAGGAAAGAAAGAAAGAATTCTTAGGCATGGATGCTTCTACTCTTTCTTAGGAAAGAGATGGGGCCTGGCTAATGCGAAATCCTAATCCTATCCCACCTTTACTTTAACAGCTGAATGTTGATAAGTAAAAAAGTCAAAACTGATAGCAAGCAACAAGATGTTGGTATTAAGGCCAAATTATCCCAATTCTATCTCCAATGCTGTAATCTCCAACTGGGGCATTTTAGACATTTCAAACATTTCAAAAGACCCGCCAATATTCATCATTGTACGCATTGGAAAAAAGGTGAATCCTCAATACCATGTTAGCATGTAAACAGGTAATTGACAGGCAACAATGAAGCTGCATGGTATTTGATCACCATGACATCAGGGCCATCTGACAAGATCAGCCTCCAAGTGGCACATCTACTTGAAACCCTGAATCTTTCCCTCTTCACTTTTTCTTTTTCTTTTCTCCATCTCTCATAATCGCATACAATCCAAAGGACCAAAACAAATGGTGCAGAGCAGATAAAGTTATGTAAATGTTGTTGGTGTTTTCACCCAATTTGACTGATTATTTCTTACAAATTCTGTGAGCTAAGAATTTCTTTTTTCTTGGGAGGTTCAAAGCAGGACAGCGATTGAAAATCATTTTTGTAATATTATCAGTTTAACAAATAACTGTGGTTAAGTGGGTTTATACATTTTTTCCTATATGAAATTAAATACTTTTCAAGGATCCGGTGACAAATTACATAATGGTTATCCAAAGGCAAAGGAAACAAGGAATGATGAAAAAGGTAGCTAATCAACAATTCGAAAACAAAAAGTATAATATTTAGAGAGAGAGAGACAAAGATAGGAACCAAAGAAGAAAAAGGAGAGACTAGTGTATGAATACAAATGGACATCCACTGTAGACTAGTATCAGTGAAACAATTTCTTTTTATTTTTTTAATTTTTTTTTCTTTTCTCTTCTTTTTCTCTCTCTCCCTCCCACACAGCACTGAAGACTGAAGACTGAACCAATCATCATGAAACACCCTCTGCGCCCAGCACTCCCCAAAAGCACTTCTCCTCCTCGTCAAAACCTCTCCTCCCTTAAATCTACCCTCTTTAAACCCTTTCACATCTCACCTCCTCCCCCAAAAAACCATGAAAACCAGCTCTCATCCTCTGTTCTTCTTCCTCTTCCTCTCTTTGTTTTTCTTCGAAACGAATCTTGTAGTCTCTGCGACTATCCCACCCCAGCTCTTCTCTCTCCTATCTCTCAAAACCTCCCTCAAGGACCCTCTCTCCTCTCTCCATGACTGGAATCCCACCACCATTTCTAGCTCTCCTTCTTCGACGCCGCCCTGGTGTTCCTGGACAGGGGTTACGTGCGGCCGAGATGCCTCCCTAATTACTTCACTTGATCTCTCGTACAAGAACCTCTCTGGGTTCATCCCTCCAGAAATCCGGTTCTTATCTCAATTGAACCACCTCAACCTCAGCGGCAATTCCTTTGAAGGGCCTTTTCCCAACGCCATTTTTGAATTGTCACAGCTCAGGACTCTGGACATCAGCCACAACAATTTTAATGGTAGTTTCCCACCTGGTATCTCCAAGCTCAAGTTTTTGACGATTTTTAACGCTTACAGCAACAGTTTCACCGGTCTGCTGCCACATGGGATTACACGGCTTCGGTTTCTTGAGCAGCTCAACCTCGGCGGGAGCTTCTTCAAAGGTGGTATACCGGGGGGGTTTCGCAGTTTATCGAGATTAAAGTATTTACATTTAGCTGGAAATTTCTTGCATGGACCGATTCCACCAGATTTAGGCTTTATGACTCAGCTCGAGCATTTGGAGATTGGATACAACGAGTTCTCTGGAGGGATACCGGTGGAGTTCGGGCAGTTATCGGAACTCCGATATCTCGACGTTGCCACTGCAAATTTATCTGGTCTTCTTCCGCCAGAGCTTGGTAATTTAACGATGCTCGAATCACTTTTTCTATTCAAGAACCGATTTTACGGCCCAATTCCCGCGAGTTACTCAGGTTTGGGAGCACTGAAGGTGCTTGATTTGTCAGATAACCACCTTTCAGGTCCGATTCCAGAAGGATTTTCTTCGTTAAAGGAGCTGACTTTGCTGAGTTTAATGGACAATGATCTATCCGGCGAGATCCCGGCTGGAATAGGCGAACTTCCTAACCTCGAAGCCTTACTGCTTTGGAACAATTCTTTTACTGGATATCTCCCCCAAAAGCTTGGCTCGAATTCCAAGTTGCAGAAGCTCGATGTTTCATCCAACTCTCTAACCGGTCCGATTCCACCGAGTCTCTGCCTCGGAAACCGACTCGTTCGACTCATTCTGTTTTCCAATAGGTTTGACTCCGAGCTCCCTCCATCGCTTTCAAATTGCACTTCTCTGTGGAGGTTCCGGATCGAAAATAACAGACTATCGGGAACGATCCCTTCCGGTTTCGGTCTCTTGCCAAACCTCACTTACATGGACCTCAGCAAGAACAACTTCACCGGCGAAATCCCGAGAGATATCGGCAAGTCCGTGAAATTGGAGTACTTGAACATTTCTGAGAACTCATTCAACAGTGGAATACCAGACAACATATGGAGTGCTCCCAACCTACAGATCTTCTCCGCCAGTTTTTGCAAACTCACCGGGAAAATGCCAGATTTCATTGGATGTCGAAGCTTGTATAAACTGGAAATGGAGGGGAACTCGCTTAATGGAAGCATTCCGTGGGACATTGACCACTGCGAGAAGCTTCTCTGGTTGAATCTCAGACAGAATTCTCTCACTGGGATAATCCCCTGGGAGCTTTCGACGCTCCCATCGATCACCGACGTCGATCTCTCCCATAACTTCCTTACTGGTACGATCCCTTCGAACTTCGGCAACTGCAGTACATTAGAGAGTTTCAATGTGTCATTCAATCTCCTCACTGGCCCCATCCCGTCGTTCGGTACGATCTTCCCGAACCTTCACCCGTCGTCGTTCTCCGGAAACGAGGGCCTCTGTGGAGGAACTGTGGAGAAACCCTGCGCTTCGGATAGGATGGCAACCGATGATTCCAGATTCCGGGAGCAACCAAAGAAGACCGCCGGAGCGATCGTATGGATCGTGGCTGCAGCATTCGGCGTAGGCCTCTTCGTCCTTATTGCCGGTAGCCGCTGCTTCCAAGCGAATTACGGCCGTCGATTCGTGGATGATCAAAAGGCGGGACCATGGAAACTAACCGCATTTCAGCGGTTGAATTTCACGGCTGATGACGTGCTTGAGTGTTTGTCGATGAGCGATAAGATCATCGGAATGGGATCCACCGGGACTGTATACAAGGCGGAGATGCCAAGTGGCGAGATCATAGCGGTTAAGAAGCTATGGGGGAAGCATAAAGAGACGGTGCGGAGGCGACGGGGTGTTTTAGCAGAAGTGGATGTGCTGGGTAACGTGAGACACCGTAATATCGTGAGACTGTTGGGTTGCTGCAGCAACAACGAGGCTACGTTGCTACTGTACGAGTACATGCCGAATGGGAGCTTGGACGATTTGTTGCACGGGAAGAATAAGGGAGAGAATCTGGTGGCGGATTGGTTCACCCGGTACAAGATAGCACTGGGCGTTGCGCAGGGCATCTGCTACCTTCACCACGACTGTGACCCTGTTATCGTGCACCGGGACGTGAAGCCAAGCAACATCTTACTGGATGCAGAGATGGAAGCGAGGGTGGCGGACTTCGGAGTCGCCAAGTTGATTCAAACCGACGAGTCCATGTCGGTCATTGCCGGGTCGTACGGCTACATTGCACCTGGTACGTAGTACGTTTGCATATTGATAATGTGCGCCGGGTGGGAAACATCCGGGTATTAACGACGTGGTACTTTTCTGGGGAGCTGACGGGGGGGGGATGGTCTACAGAGAGCACCAGAGAAGAGACTGGTGATATCGTCTCTTCCTCCATTTTTTTCGAATTTCGAAAGGTGGCATGGAAGCAAGATTCTCTTCTTTTGTCACCGCGCCATTTTTCCCCATTGGAGTGCATTGCGCACTATTGCGCGTGATATACTTTTTCCCCGCTTTAGTTTTAATTAATTTAGTATATCCCAAAAGATAAATATAGCCTTTTATACAAGCAGAGAACATGATTAGATTAGGAAATTAGATCATTAGATCAGTTGGTCTATTCAAACTAATTCAGACGGCTTTATTGCGTTTTGCAGAGTATGCTTATACATTGCAAGTGGACGAGAAGAGCGATATATATAGCTTCGGAGTGGTACTGATGGAGATACTAAGTGGGAAGAGATCTGTGGATGCCGAATTCGGAGACGGCAACAGCATTGTCGACTGGGTGAGATCGAAGATCAAAACAAAGAACGATGTGGCGGATATCCTAGACGAGAACGCCGGTGCTTCGTGCGCTTCGGTGAGGGAAGAGATGGTGCTAGTGCTAAGAATTGCATTACTTTGCACAAGTCGCAACCCGGCCGACAGACCGTCCATGAGGGACGTCGTGTCGATGCTGCAAGAAGCCAAGCCCAAAAGGAAGATTCCGGGCAGCCTGGGCGGTGGCGGAGATAGTGTCATCGGTGGTGGTGCTAGTCTTGTTGTTCACAAGCCAGGAGTAGAGTGTTAATATAATTTAATTTCAGTTTTTTTTTTTAATTTTAATTATAATATGGGGATTGGTATAGAAGAAAGAATTTGTCCTTTTTTTTCCTCTTTATCCTGATGGAAAATTTTTGTTTTTGTTTTTCTCAACTAAATCACAGGTAAGTTGGTTTTTGAGTTGGCAATTCAGTCGATTGCTGTCTAGCTAGTCCTTTGAAAGGGCCAAGGGTACTACTTTTCTGGGATCATGGAGAGGCTGAGCATCCAAAGTATTTCCAGGTTAAATTTTAAAAAAAAAAAGACAGAAAAAAGAAATTTATCAATAGAGTGAATGATTATAACCATCTGTCGCTTCTTTTGGCGTGGGAAACTTTTGTACGTTGGAGTTATACCATCTCAGCGATCAAGGGAAACCCCAGCGATCAATTACATCAATTGCCAAAGGGTTGTTTGTCTGAGACAACACATAATAAAGAAACAGAAGCAGAAGAAGGTGGGCTGAAGTGCTGAACCTTTATTCCCTTTTTTGTGATTGTACAGTAGATCTGTACTTTATACCCAGGCCCAAACCCGCCAAAAAGAGGCAGCGATGAACAATCCTCAGTCATCAGTCGATTGAAGATGGTAGGGAATCTAGAGATTAACCAACTTAACAGCTTAATTGTGCAACCATTTATCATTAGTTGGGCTAAAACCATTCGATTCCGATGTGGGAATTCAATGATGTGTTTTTGTATGTTGAGCTCCCTTCTGTGACAATTGGATCCAATTCAATTTCCACCAAGCAAGCATGCATCGTTATAAAAACATACAGTGGCATAAATCATTAATATAATGCTGATACTTGCCTTTGCCTCACTAAAAAAATAACCCATCCTAAAATTTTAATCCATCTCTACCTGTTCAACAGAGTTGGTACAAGGCCCATCTACCCTGTGAAATATGTCAACCCTTAAACACAACTTAAAGTGTCGTATAGGTGGGTCATTGATACAATAAGTATCGGCTGATACAAGCTGATACGTTGCAAAATTTCAATACTTACTTATATGCTACATAAATAACAAAATAAAATTTTTATAACCGATGAGATAGAAGAGAAATAATCAAATTCTACAAATTCCTTAAGGATGAAAAATAAAAATACCTTAAATATTAGATTCAATAAGAGGGAATGAGCATTAATACCTTAAACATTGGGCTTGATAACAGTAATAAAATAAACTAACAAATGATATTCAAATTACAATTTTTGCCCTCATAATAGAGAGGGACCAAATCTATAAAGAGGAGTATTTTAGAAGAAAAAGCCCAGAAACCTTGGGGAGTTATTCACACTTATATGCTGTGTTTGATTGCAGTGCAATTTTATTTGCACTAGTACAAATGTATGGGAGTGCAAATGAAAAAAATACAAATTCTCGTTTAATTTTGTTTTGGGTTTTACTTTACTCTGCTTCATGTCTTAATTTACTTCATTTGCACTGCAATCAAATAAAATAAACTAAATTTTGGAACAAAAATAAGTTAGAATTTACATTCAAATCATTTGCACTGCCACAGTTTTGCATTAGTGCAAATTTATTTACATTCCAACCAAGCACAACCTTATTACAATAATATAGTAAAAGGCAATGAAGGGGAGGGGGGATTGCTCCCCTCCGACGGCCACCCCTGGCTCCACCTACAGGCTCTATCGACATGGCATGTTAGTCCACAACAACAACAAGCCATGCCTCCAGCCCTGATCATACTAGCTACAATACATTACAACCATACATAGGAACATCTACATGTACAATGAATGACAATATACAAAGTACAGGAAATGTTTCCGCTGTATAGCTGTAAGTTCTTGTGGCTAGTGTATTGTGGTAAGCATAATCCCATTACTGTTAGATGGAGTTTTTATGGATTAACTATTTAACGTGTCTTAGAGAAAGAATACTATGAACAACACAAGGCTGTTAAAAGTTGAAAGCTCATTTTTTTTCCTTAATACTGTGTTTGGTTGCAATGCAAATAAATTTGTACTAATGCAAAACCATGATAAGGCAAATGATTTGGCCGTAAATTCTGACCTATTTTTGTTTTAAATTTTAGCTTATTTTGTTTGATTGCAGTACAAATGAAATAAATTAGGTTGTGTTTGGAAATGATGCAAATATGTAGAGTGTAAAACTGCTCATATAAATTAAAATTGGATTAGTTTTGCATTGATAAATTTACCTTCTTACCAAACAGACTTTTAGTTGTAATGGATGCAAGCATGAATTCCAATAAAGCATATGCTTTTTTTTATCAAAATCTCACTTAAATGCAAATTTACTTATTTTTTATTGATGTACTTTTACATCTTATTATCAATATAAATATACATTGATCTGTCATTTGTCAATGCAAAAATGTAATGTTGACAAACACAAACAAAAGTGAATCAGAGTACAGATTTACCCTGAACTAGAATTTACACTCCATTTGTATCGTTTGCAAACACAGCCTTAAGACATGAAGTAGAATAAAGTAAAACCCAAAACAAAATGAAACATGAATTTGCATTTTTTACATTTGCACTCCCATGTATTTATACTAGTACAAACAAATTTGCACTGCAATCAAACACAGCCTAAGGCTTAATTTGGAAAGAATACAAATACAAATACGTGTAAAACTTTGTATTTTATAGGGCAAAAGACTTAAACCTCCTAAGATTTAAGATAAATACTTATAACACCCCTATGGTTTCTGAATGGACTTGACCTCCCCTGTCAACAAGATATAACGTTATATTTAACAGATTCAATAAAATAACATTTTTACCCTCCATTGTCCTTAAAATTTTAAAGAAAACCACCAAACTGTAACTAAGGAAATTTACGGGATAGAACAAAGAAAGATAAGGCTTACAAATCCAATGAGAAGATCATCTATCTCGATCAACGCTTCTATGATGTTTTGAGAGATTAGAATCAAATAAACGTTTTTGAATTATAAACTTTGTCATGGCCTCTGTTACTTCAAAACCAGGCATGTTAATCTATTGTTCAGAAATTAGAACCTTCTGATTTAATCATGGCGTATTTGATGAAATAACAACATGTTATTTTCTTTGATTGTTTTCACATTTTTATTACTATCATATCCTCCAACTATAATTCTAATTTAAGTATTTATTTATTTCGATTTTTTAAGGTTTTTTTATGCCAGAATTAAGTTTAAAGACCTCTGACCTTTCCTTGCCCCATGTTCCACCAATCAGTCCATTTCCTGAGAAATGAACAAAAGAATTAGTGTGATATGATATTTGGTGGCCAATGTTATCATCAAAATCTTCTAGTTCCACCATTGCCAATCTTAGGTTCAAGTTTGGGTCCTCCTCAAAAGTTTGGATATAACACTTTCTATGAGTGTGAAGATGGTTTGCTTGATGTCAACCTAGAACTCTATTTCAAACAAAGGTTTTGGAAGCTGGAACCATGAGAAATTCCTAATGATCAACTTTATTTCTATAAACTCAATGCATTCAAGCTACTAGCACTCCTAATGTAAATATTAGAATTTGAAATTGAAGGATCCGCTAACTATTTTATTCAGAGTAAAGCCACCACTGGCACATATGCTGAGTCATGGAAGACGCAAGAGGAACTCGTGGATATATTACTCCTAATATATACTCCAAGGGGACGAAGAAATAATATAGAGATGGGTAAAGTTGGGTTTTGAAATGTTATGTACAAGCGAATCTGCATGAATTGCTAATGGAGGGGATGTATTTGTCCAGTCACGTCATTCAATGAGGGAGGTCTTAGTTTAATTCTTTTTTTTAAAAAAAAAAAAATAGGAGATGTTTCGGTATTTAAGAGAAGCATCAAGGGAGTCAAGTTTTTTACCCTATTTTACATTATTTTGCATACATTTATGCTATATATATTTGTACTTTTACTCTTTCTAAACTTGATGAAGGAAGATTTAGCCCGACCCCGCAATCACTCCACGTGTCAAAAACGAATAGCTCGGCACTTAAAACAGCGTACCCAGGGCGCAAACACCAAAGGGAAGAAACCAGCAGTCCGAACTTTCTACGAGGAGCCCAAACTCCCTACGAGGAGCCCGACCTCCCTTCGAGGAGCCCGAACTCCCTACGAGGAGCCCGACCTCCCTACAAGGAGCCCGACCTCCCTACAAAGAGCTCGAACTCCCTACGAGGAGCCCGAACTCTCCCTTNCCTGACACCTTGCGAACTCCCCGCGCCAGGGCAAGACCCTTAGCACGAGGAGTGGGGGGCAATTGATGAAGGAAGATTTGGCCCGACCTCGCAATCACTCCACGTGGCAAAAACGAATAGCTCGGCACTTAAAGCAGCGTACCCAGGGCGCAAGCACCAAAGGGAAGAAACCAACAGTCCGTACTCCCTACGAGGAGCCCGAACTCCCTACGAGGAGCCCGACCTCCCTTCGAGGAGCCCGAACTCCCTTCAAGGAGCCCGAACTCCCTACGAGGAGCCCGACCTCCCTACGAGGAGCCCGACCTCCCTTCGAGGAGCCCGAACTCCCTACGAGGAGCCCGACCTCCCTACTAAGAGCTCGAACTCCCTACGAGGAGCCCGACCTCCCTACGAGGAGCCCGAACTCTCCCTTGGGCCCCGAGCCACACAAGGCAGTGACCCGAACTGGTCTGCCTCATGGCAGTTCGGGACACTCCCCTATCCGAACTCAAGACTTCACCTCGTTCGCCACTCCAACACTTCGCCTCCGAGATGCCGAACTGAACAAATGTACCATACCTGACACCGAGGAGGTCCGTATCCAAGGGGCGGCACATCTGACTGACTTGGGATCTGACGCTTGATAGCCGCACTTCAACGGTCACCTACCACCGCCACCTGCCGCCGTCATCGTCAGTCGTAGAGACGGCTCCGACAAAAGGAAGCAGTGGCGGTTCTGACCAGCAGCGGGGATGACACCCGAACTGGCAGGAGACCAGAGGTAACCGTACCCGACCTGACAGAAGCTTAGGAGTGAGTGCACGAGGTGGCTACAAAAGGCCCCCTACCCCCAAGAACAAGGTATGCAAACTTTGCGCTATCTGGTTTTATCTTGCCTTTGAAGGATTCTAACTTGAGCTTCAGAGCCTCCGCACCGAGTTCCCCCCGGAGCTTTCTCATCTTCTCCGTTTAAGGTTCCCCACAATTCCGTTCAGAGGCAAGGTCATTGACAGCTAAGACCGGCCGGATTGCGCACCATCAATTGGCGCCGTCTGTGGGAAACGCTTCAAAGAGCCTCCCGCCAAACTCTCATAACCTCTTTTCTTCAAAAAACCCAACACTCATGGCTTTTTCCAGCAA